TTCTGAGAACACATGGTGACATGTGTCCCATCACCAAGTCCCATGATGGATGAAGAAAACTAACTCCTGAAAATTGTCCTCTGGCCTCCACATGACCTTAGCATGCACACACACGCACACAATAATAAGGTTTAAATATATAGATTTATTATGTGTGATTGGGTGCGTGTGGAGGCTAGAAGACAGCTGCAGAGATCCATTCTCAGATTTCACCTTGATTTTGAGGCCAGGTCTCTCTTGTTAGCCACTGCTACACAAATTACTCCAAGGTAACCCCCCCTGCCTTGAGCTTCTGGGGTGGGGGGTGAGTCTCACATCTCCCCTCCCAGGAGGGCTGGGCTTACACACATGTGCCACTCTGTCTGGCTTTTACATGGACGCTGAACAACTGAACTCGGACCACCAGACTTGCACAGCAGGAATTTTACCCACTAAGTCACCTCCCTGTCACCCACACCAGCTGTTTTACTTGAATCTCATTTGATTGGAAGAGTGGTTGAGTAGGAAGGTGAGCACCTCTAATCATTTGACACTTTCCACAAGTTTGATTAGAACAGAGGCTACAAGCATTTCACAGCCTTCTGTGCTGTGCTTTCAGCTCTACTGTGCTGTCACTGGTCAGCTGTGGGTACCCTCTGATGGCCTCTGTGGTGTTCTGAGGCTGGAAATAAACAAAAAATTGGCTTCTTTCCAGCCCTTTGGATACTTTTTTCATCACAGGCAACTTCCCCCATGATGAGTCCCTGCTCTCAAGACCCAAGCAAGTCAGAAGATTTAATCTCACACCCTGTCTTAGAGCTGGAGTAGACATATAAGCTAGTCTTCAGCAATCAAATATGAAAGAAACTTGACCATAACAGAGGAAGTGAGGAGCAGGCATCACATAGAATCCATTTTTTAAAAAGGCTAGTGACAGTAACCACCAGGTTTCAGAACTCCAGCAGCAAAGTTTGGCAACATGGATGCGATCTGAGATGCCTGCATCCTCCCCGTCAGTGGCACTGTTCTTAGGCAAGAAGCTCCCAAGCCTGATTCTGGTCCTGCCAATATCTATGTGAGCTTTGTAAGCCTATAATACACTCTTTCCTTTTCTGAATGGCTAGCATGATGACTTCTGTTGTTTGCGCTGACAATCCTAGGTGAATTGACAGTATAATAGCATTCCTCCAGGGAAGCAAACCCAATCAGGTACAAATGGATGTATAATACATACACAGGGAAAATCTTTGTGTGGGGAAGTTGGTTCACAGTTTTTGGCACTGGCTGGCTTGAAATCTAGATGCAGGAGGGAGACTCACAGAGATGGTGCTTGCAGGCCATGAAGCAAGCACAAGTTTTTGTCTTTTAGAAGTCAGATTTTTGTCCTCAAAGCCTTACAACTGACTAGAACAGGCCCACCTCCATCGCCAAAAGTAATCCTTATTAAAATCAGCTGGTTCTAGATACAAACTGCATCTAAACACTTCACAGACCCACCTAGAGTAACAGTCCCTGCAGCCCAGCCACCCACCAACCCAAAACCCCAGGAAGAGTGCCAGCGTTTCAACTTTCACTTTGATTGAGACTTCTTGTTTAAATCAGCATGTTTGGTTTGAGAAAACTTTTACCCAGGCCAGAGATTTGGCTCAGGCTCCAAGCCTCACCACTTGAATTCAATGCCTGGTGAACTGATGTGACGAGAGGAGATAATTAATTGACTGTCACCAGTTGTGGATGCACACTTGTACACATAATAAATAAATGTGAACTGTTTCAAATATATGCAGAGTTTAATACTAAGCAAGTCAAGACAACTGCATTCAAGAGGGCAATCCCCCTAAAGCCTACCCCACCACAGCCAAACCTAGCTGCCACTGTCTCTTTTTTGGATTGTAGCCACCAAGTCCTTCAGATCCAACCTACCAGAGCCTATTTCCAAGGCAGTGATCTCCCCATTACAGACTGGTGTTGGTTCTTCCACACCTCATAGCCATCATAGTTTGGTTGTAAGCAACAGACACCAACATTGATACACGCAAAAGATAAACCCCTGAAACAAGTTTTCACATGGAAAGAAACGCTGAAGTATCTTCTGAGACAAAGTCTCTCCACATGGACCCAGCTGTGCTGGAACTCACTCTGCAGACCAAGCTGGCCTTGAACTCAAAGATCTACCTGCCTCTGCCTCCCAAGTGCTGGAATTAAAGGTGTGCACCACTACCCTCAGCTTAAAAGCTGAAGTCTTAAGAAGATTAGGAAACTCAGCTTCCGCCAGATCATCAAGGCAGGAGCCAACAGTCTTCTGGGAACTCAGCTTTGGCTTCAGGGATGAGTCAGTCACCATCTCAGTCTGCACGGAACACACTCCTGGGGCCAACAGTAAGGTTAGGGTGTCTGGCTGCCTGGAACAGGTTCATATCCCTGCCTTTGGCCAGAGCATGCTCTTGGTATAATTGTTAAAACTGATATTAAGGCAGGCATGTAGCACACTTGGGAGGCAGAAGCAGGCAGAGCTCTATGAGTTCAAGGCCAGTTTAATCTACATAGCTAGTTCCAGGCCATCTAGGGCTACATAATGAGGCCCTGGATGGGGGCTGATAATAAGAAAGAGACACAAATGACATGCCACTGTGGACGGAGGAAATCCCACAGGTCCAAGATAAAAAAATATAGGCAACTAATAACTGCTGAGAGAGGAAGAATTACTCTTCCCCAGGGATGAGCCCTCTAAATGGCTATCCAGTATCAAATGGTCACCCCTAAAAGCATGTATGTATGTATTTATGTATGTATGTATGTATGTGTGCATATATATATATATATATATATATATATATATC